CTTCCTTCCTTCCTTCCTTCCTTCCTTCCTTCCTTCCCTTCTACTTTTCTGTCTTCTCTCTCTCTCCCTCCCTCTCTCTTCCCTCTCTCAAAATTAAGTTCTTATTAAACACTGCCAATCACTGAAGATCTATAGTAATAGGAGCCTGAGCAGAAGGAGCCAAAGAAATGCTCCTGCTTGGAAAATATGTGTTTCCCACAAACTGCTCCCCTTTTGGCCAGATTCAGATCACTCAGATCCTTCCTGGGATATATTAAACCTGAGAGAAAGTGTAGCAGGTGTTACTTGGGTGTGATGGGGTATAAAGTATGTCTTTCCTGGTTAATGCTTAACTTTAGTAATGATATTTAAACACATCTAAAGTGCCTTTTCCTCACATCAACCCCTCTCTGTAAAGTTTCACCCACATCTTTTCCCCCACCGTGGCACAGTCTTGCCTATCCCCTTCCAGTACTGTCATTACCTGTCAAAAATACGTATGTGCCTGTTCCTTGGACCACCCATAAATTCACTCCAATTTGGAGATTCATTGTGATTCCTTTTGTGAATAATTAATAAGAGACAGTTGTTAATTTTTTTATAGTCTAATAAAAAAAAAAAAAGAAAAAGAAAATTTTCTGAAATACACTGTGTCCTTTGATTTTGTTTTAAAAAGGATTCCCACAACTAACCCCCCCTTTCTATAGTGTATCAATCAGGATAGGGTCTATTTTGCTGCAGTAACAAGCAACCCCCAAATCTTACAACAGAAGCTTTTTCCTTCACTCATGAGAAGTCTACTGTGGATTTGGGTAAACCCCCAGGCAGTTTTCCTGTGTCTATTACCAGCAGTTCAGGCTGCTTTACTCTTGCGGCACCTCCAATACTGAGTTCCCTAATCACTATAGCAGGAGAAAAAAATATGCATTAATAGTCATGTACTGGCTCTCATCACTTTTATCCCCATTCCATCATCCAAAGCAAGTCACATGGTCATATCTCCACTTGAAGGGTATGACAGCCTCCTTCCAGGTGCCTAGAAGGAGAGAAGGAATGGGACATGGATGAGCAGCACTAATGGCTAGCACAGGTAGATAGGAGCCAGGTCATAGCACAATGCTAGGTTTCATTCTGAACACAATAGCCATTAAGGGATTTACATACAAGACTAAATTGATTTGATTTGCAGTTTAAGCAGATTATTCTGGTCGTTCTATGGAGAATGAGTTGAAGGTCATGTTCAGAGGCAGTGTCAGAGGAAAAAGGGCCATGGCAAGTTCAAGTGGGAAAGATGCTGTTAGCTGTTAGCTCAAGCAAGAGCGGAAGCAGAGAGATGGAGCAAAAGTGAATACATTTGATACATACTTTGGAGATAGAATCAATAGGATTTACTGAAAGAAAATCCTAAGTTCAGTTTGAAGGATACTGAGTTTGAGATGCTCATGAGACAAACAGATATCAAACAGGCATGTGGATAAATAAGATTAGGGTTCTGGGCTAAACTTATGAAGTTAAGTGTCATGAGTATGTAGAGCTCCTCAAAAGAACGAGAAGTCGAGCTCACCTATACAGAGTGTGGACAGAAGACAGGGTCCAGAATGAGTCCGGAAAACTCCCAATTTACTTAGTTGAAGAATCTCTAAGGATTTTTCCAGTTCTTACTTAGAAGAGGTGGGGTACACGGAGGAGGCGGCAGCGAAGGACACTGAAGAGGAGTGGCCAGAGGAAAGAAGAGCCGGGATGTGCAGGCACAGGCCTCAAGAGGCAAGGGATAACCCTAGCCGGTTTGCTCAGTGGTTAGAGCGAAGGGTCCGGGGTTCAATTCCAGCCAAGGGCACATACCTCAGTTGTAGGCTCAATCCTTGCCCCAATTGGGGTGCATGCAGGAGGCAACCAATTGATGTGTCTCTCTCACACTGATGTTTCTTTCTCTCTCTCTCTCTCTCTCTCTCTCTCTCTCTCTTTCTCTCTCTCTCTCTCTGTGAAAAGCAAGGAAAAAAATATCCTCTGATATTTAAAAAAAGAAAAAAAAAGAGGCAAGAGATTGTGTAAGATGTTGCACAGTTACTCCCCTCATTGCAAACCTTCCACAAACCCCCATTCTCTAGAGCCCACAGTTGTCAGTCTGGAGTTACCTTTTCGTGAGTGGTTTTAAGAGGCCAGAATCCGAGAGGACATCCCAGATGTGGGAAGACTTTTCTGCCAGGGCAGGCCACGGAGGTGTTAGCAGGTTCAGGTCCAGCTGCCTGAGAGCGCGCTGGCCCTGGAGGCCCGCCTTGCGCACTGGGTCATCCCCTGCCTGGGGCG